CACTGCAGCAGCTCCTTTTTTTTTTTTTTTTTTTTTTTTTTTGTGTGTGTGTGTGTGTGTGTTTTATCTCTTCTGTAGTAGTTACAACTGCTGAGGCTGCTGCAAGTGCTGCAGTGCTGCATCTGCTGCAGCAGACCCCCCAACCAACCCCCCCACCTGCTTGTTCCTTTAATTTTTCATCCAAACGGCCCCAAATTTTGCCACGTAGTCCCCATGTCGAGCATGGACCCCCCCCATTTTTTTAAACACCCGTGTGTAGCCCAGATTCACAGGAAATCGATTGTCCGTGGTCCCGGCCAACCAGGGTATCGGACATCCGACAGCTGGTTACATAATTGCATACTTTATTACAGCATAATATTCCCATATTTAAAATATTTATCCTCTCCAACCCCAGGCGAAGTCCTCCCTTCCCTCTCCCTCCCTAACCTCTTCCCTCCCTCTTCCCTCCCCCTTCCCACCCCCCATCCCGTCCACCCCCACGAGGAAACAAGCAAACATCAAGGCACTCCTGGAATGACAGTGGGTACAAGTGAGCAACTGTTCCGACCCATGCAAACAATGGAGGACAAGAAAATGCCCGCGGCGAGGACTCCCCGCAATTTGAATTCAGAAACAGAAGATGAAAAGTAGCCTGCTCCTCTTACGAGGATCGTGCTCAGTAGGCAAATTCACGAGCAGAGAAAATGGATTTAAATCTAACGTGATCTAATCTTTATCCAGATCTCCAGTGATAAGCCTATTCATGTCATATTCCATGGGACAATGGACCCGGTTCCCACCAGGCCTGGGTGCAGCTCCCCACCTACAGAATGCTGCCATCTACAAATGCAAAGCCTCACTCACACGGACTCTGTCACCCTCACGAAGTCCCTCTCTCTCTCTCTCTCTCTCTCTCTCTCTCTCTCTCTCTCTCTCTCTCTCTCTCTCTCTCCGAAGGAAAAAAACATCGACTCATATCCCGTAACTGTAATTTAATTGTCTTTCCACTCACTAATAATCACTATGCATAAAAAAAACCATGCAAGTATGACTGCTTTCCATCATACATTTGTGTGCGTGTTCATCATAGACACTACTAAACGGTACAAGTAATTGGCAGCGCGTTCCTACAAGTGACAATCAAGCCGGAAGGCATGAGTAACTGTTAACCAGCCTGCAGATCAACCTCCCAACCATTGCCGATCTGAATTGCACGATTCCGTGAACGACCGTTCGCACTGCCCAGTGCCTACTCTAGCTACACAGTAATTCCCATGGCTTCTAATTTTCTCAAATTCTCACAATAGCTTGTGAAGGGTTGACCCATCCTGAAATGCAGGAGGCAGTAGAGGTCTCAAAAATGTGCTTCACATTGAAGCTCTTTATTATAGTGTGATTAATTCCACCTTCATGAAAACAAGTGGTTTCCCAGAGCGGCTCCGCCTGAGGCAAAGAGGACAGTTGGAGAGAAGGGACTCTCTCTCTCTCTCTCTCTCCTCTCCCCCCCCAACACTGATCCCGTATGCACACAAACACACATATGCACACAGGCACAGAGAGGAAGAAAGAGGGAGAGAGTCAGGTGGGCATACACACACAGACCCAGAGAGAGAGAGAGAGAGAGAGAGAGAGAGAGAGAGAGAGAGAGAGAGAGAGAGAGAGAGAGAGAGGAAGGCTTGACATCTGAATGACACCGCGCAGCAGGGATAGCGCAAGCACTGCAGCACTGGCATCCACAGTGCCACAGATACAGTAATCAAGAGACAAAACGCAAGTCCAAGATTGGGTACTCTTTCTGAAGCTGCGTAATACCCTGCAAGCCCATTTCATACTCCCAATCGCCATCTTTGAGCTCCACAACCACCTTCTCGAGCTTGGGGCAACATGTCAAGAAAATTTTTATAAAACTAGTCGTACAGAACATTAGTGTTACACATAACCACAACTCTCTGAGATTCGCTCCGTTGAATACAGACTCGCTCGGTTGCAGGCCCTGCAACAGCGTCGCGAGTCCAAAATGTTTGACATGCAGAACCTCTAGCAGAGGGAAGCCCTGCAGGAAAAATGACTCCGTAAGTATGTCCTCTGTGGGGCCATCAGAGTCCCAGAAATCAAGATACAAGTGAAGATCGACCAGAGTGTGACGATACAGCATAAACAATGCTATCAATTCAATCACATGCCATTTCCTTCCTTCGCCATTCTGCTGATGTAAATGGAGAACCGATAGTCGATCTGACCACAACGAGAATTTCAAATCGCGACAGTCGTACGCCACCATTGACATGGGATTCGTATGTTTCGTGAGTCTGAATTTCTGGATGCGAAAGAAGGACGCCTCCGTGAGCTGTGGCGCATCAACGACGATGCGTTTCCCCCAAGGCTCGGCGTTCGGGTTCATTGGCACTCCGACGCACAGTTTTCTGAGTTCGGACGACACAACCGATGTCCGTATCAGCCCCGTGAAGAACACGACATGAAGACATTCGAGCCAAGGGAAAAGAGACAGCAACTCACCCAATCCTCCTCCTCCTCCCGCTGCTTGATCTCCTCCTTCTTCTTCGCCCTGCCCAAATCCAACCATGCTTAACCTCAGGGCCCTAAGGCATGCGTGAGGCTCGCACGTCTTTAAAATCATCCAGTCAAGCTCTTGAATCTCGTCCGTAAGGGGTGGCGTAATGTCCAGCATCATTAACCTCCGGCAGCACATCGACGTGCAGATGAGGATATCATTCATCGTCCCTGGCTTGAGCGGTGCACATATGCTGAGCTCAGTGAGAGATGCGTAGGTGTGTATCATCCACGACTGCACAGCCGTGCGACTGCAGGATTTCAATGGGTCAGGCCCTCTCTCAAGCACCAGGTGCGCCAGCTCGCGAGACTTGAGGACGGCTGACGTCACAACATCATCCACATCAAATTTGCTTTCCAGCATGCTGTCTTTGAATACGAGCACAGGAACCTGTGACGTAAAAAAACAACAACGTCGATCAGGCAACGTCTTTTTTTTTCTTTCTACAAATAAGAAAACTGGGATACCTTTCTCGGCTTTTTTTTGGCTAAGAGCAGGTGCACTCTATCTGTTCTGATCAGTGTAAAAAAAAAAAAAAAAAAAAAAAAAAAGACTGGGATATCCCCTGACATGTCCCTCAGGATTCCAACTGATGATCTTCTGTCTTCTGCTTGTCAACAGTTCCATGTGTGTACCATTCAGCCACAACGCAGATACAAATGTGTCCATTTTTTTGACTCGATTGTCGTCTTGTCTGTTTGTTTGAAATCGTCGTCACTGAGTAATTAATAGTTATGATATGTTACTGATTTCAGTGTCTACCCCTTGTCCAGACTCACAGGGCATACTCACACTAATACTTTTTTACTTATTTCTGGACGGAATTGTGGCCAGATGCATACCGGTGTGGCCGAAATTGCAGTCTGATGCATTCTGGAAAAGTGCTACTAGTAGTGTGAGTACGCATGCCCTCAGTCTTTTCTCTATAGTACTGTTTCCTATTCTGAGTTTTCTATTTCTCTCTTTGTATGGCAGCCAGGGACGGCGGTGTTCAACGCCTTCTATGAACCCTGACGGTGAGTAAGGCCAGCTGCTACTTAGCATGGACAGACTTGGTTGGATTGGCAGCCTATGCTTGTTTCATGTTATCGGTAGCGTAAGGTCAAGAACACTTTGGTGGCAAGGGCCCAGTCTTGCCAACCGGCCCTTAGACCGGTGTGACTGGGGTTGTCGAACTGGGCCTGATGAGATCAGGCAAAGCCAAACTCCGTCGTCAACAGATACTACACTCTACCGTCTTCAGCCGAATAGAACGCACGGTAATTATCGCCGTACCTGGACTGAAAACAGTGTGCACCAAAAATACATCTGTAATGACCGGGCGCGGGCGTTCTATTCGGATCACAACGGTAGTGTGGTTAGTATAGTAGTTCCCCTCTATCTCCTGCCCACCACCAACCAGCTGCAGTCCTTGGAGGCAATTGCACAGGGATCTCCCCTCCCCCCCCCCCCCCCCCGACCACAAGCAGCCCTCCATGCACAAACAACTTCAAAAGACGCAATCGCCGCAATGTCAGAAACGTCGAATCATCAAAGAAACGAAACGACAAATGACAAGTTGTGAGAAGCTGTTTCACACAGTGGCAGTATGCTACACAGACTCGACATAAGAACTTCATTCATCAGTTCAAGCATTCCTTTCCCAAAGAACTCCGCACCTCGTATTTCTAACCTCTCTCTCTCTCTCTCTCTCTCTCTCTCTCTCTCTCTCTCTCTCTCTCTCTCTCTCTCTCTCTCTCTCTCTCTCTCTCTCTCCTCTTCTTATGTCTCACACCCTTCACCAACCTCTTCTGCCTTGGCTACCGGAAAGTGGCCTTCCCAGCACAAACTCACCAATGCCCACATCAGCACATGCCTTCACTAGCTGCTCCCCAAACCTGTTGGCCCAGAGCGAAATACCTGCTGCAAAATCCCCAAAGCCACTTTGGACTGAAGACAACACACCTGCGATTTGTTCGGGGTCGCAGCTTTGCTGGCCAACAATGAGGAATGCACCACACAGTACACGGAAAGCTTCACTACCTATCAGAGATCAAAGGGAAGGGAAAGGGAAGAGGGGGGGGGAAAGAAACATCGTGTGGCTTTCTCAAGCCACGTCCAATACCTGACACGGCAGACCGGGCAAGTCTATGTCCATTGACCTCATGACAGGCTTTTCCTGAGACTAAAGGGGAAGAATAACAATGTCTTCTTCAAGCTTCTAGATATGCTATGCCTCAGCACAGGAGACTGAGCAAAAGAATAACACAGTCTTCTTCACGCTCCTGGATACGGCGGCTGCCTACATTCGAAAAGGGCAGCACTGGAGCTAGGAAAGAATAGCAAGGCCCGACATGGTCCTTTTTTTTTTCTTCTTTTTTTTTAACATGGTCCAATTTTACCGGTGTTGTTGAGTGCAATTCAGTTTTTGCAGTGGGGAGGAAAGAAATATGACATTTAATATATATAGTAGGCGAAGACGGCACTATAGGCTGCTGACGTCCTAGACTGACGGTTTGTTCAGGCGAATTCAAAGTCGTGCAGCTTCTGGATATGGCGGCTGAGAATCCGAAGTGCTGGAGCTTCAGCTTCTGGATATGGTGGCTGTCGACCTTCAGAAAGTGATGCACTGCCAGTGGAGCTAGCAAACAGTAGCAAGGCCCGGCATGGTTCACATTTACCACTGCTGTTAAACCACCAGTACTTAGTAAAGCCGTGCTGTCGTTAACAAGCCACGATTTTAGGAAATGTACGGGCCACTACAGGAGCGCCCAAATTCATCCGACTGTCAGTGGAGCTAGCAAACAGTAGCAAGGCCCGGCATGGTTCAAATTTACCACTGCAGTTAAACCGCCAGTAGTTAGTAAAGTCGTGCCGCCGTTAACAAGCCACGATTTTAGGAAATGTACGGGCCACTACAGGAGCGCCCAATTTCATCCAGCTAGAAACGTTTCTACTCTATTTTTTTTCCATGGCCGATAGCTGGGCCAAGTACTGGTGGTTTAAGTACATTTCGGTCGTCGTGTGGACTAAGAGAGACAATATGCTAGTTGGTACAAGGCACTATAGATTCGTGACAACATCGCCGTTTCCCCACTTAGCTGGAAACAAACTACACGCTGGCCTAGAGTGAGGGTCTCCGCAAAGTCGGGACTCGAACTCTCAACCTAGATCTCTCTCAGGGTGTAGCTGTTGTTCCAGTGTGATTATTGGTTCAAGAGGGCTTGAACACTCAACATACCTGTCATTACAGAAGCTCAATAACCAATAATCATGACATAAAAATTGATACAATCTACGATAATAATCTAGAATTACGTGAGGTAGGTCACCTGTGAATATCTCTCAAAACTGCCGCCATTTTTTTTTTTAATTAAAGAAAAGGGTTTCTGCAGGTGAATTCAAAGTTGCGATCCTTGGGTTGGATACCAGGGTCGGACTTCGATTGTACGGCGTCCACAATTAATTGCCAGTGGAGGAGTTCAGCAAAGGAGGTCGTGCAAAGGAGGTGGTAGACGAATTATCGACGTTCCAAGAAGCAGGACCATTTACTTGTCTGCATCTCCTTGTTGGTTTACCTTCATCATAGTGTGTTGTGTTTTCAACAGTGACCATGACTTTTGCCTTCCATGTAGTCCAGCCAAAAACGCAMAAAAAAAAAAAAAAAAAAAACGCACAATGCAATCAGACTAGCTTTCTTTCACACTTCACATGCATGTACACAGGTTGCGCAGCAAACTGGCGACGAGCGCCCACTCAAAACTCAGAGATATGACAAACAAGAATACCATTCAGATACAACTCGCTTCAGATGGCTATGGCGATTCAGCGCCCATACAAGTCTTTGTTCGTCACTCACTCGTCGCTGCTTATCACACACAGGATCACCCTGGATATCCCACACGCATACTCTGCACACTCACACACTGAACGCTATCTACAGCTATGGCGGCTATGGCCGCTACTACCCTATCGCTATGGCTAAGCTTCTTCTCTCTCGCCCACTTCGTCTTCGGGCTCACTGCAGACCACCTCGCACAAGTCGCTGCGGCAGCGCTTCCGCATGGCTCGCGCAGGAATGAATGAATGGCTGGGCGCTGCCCTTTGATTTATACTTCTGTGGCTCGTTGGTCTGGCCCTTTCCCATGCCCGTGGTGCACACAGTCCCATGCGGTACTTGCTTGACTGGACTAGGACTGACTGGGACTGGGACTGCTGACTCAGCACGGGTAGACTCCACCACTTGCCCACTTGCCTCAGCCTAAACATGGGCAACTTCGAAAGGCCACTGCTAGGACCTTCCGGAAGGCCGTGGACTTGGCCTTTCGCTACAGTAGCAGCTACGACCTTGACCTTTCAGGACTGTAGCAGCTACGACCTTGACTCTTCGGAAGCTCTACAGCTACGACTTCTAGAACACCCTAAGACTTCTACTCGACAGTTCTACAGATCGAACCCCTGCTACCTACGGACCCTACGACAGTCTACCAACTGTTACAAATACACAGGTCATGGGTTCAACTCTCGGGGTCGACACAGATACTGTACACAGGTAGGGTGGCGACTAGGGATCAAGCCCTGGGATCAGCACTCGCTACTGCTGACAGGTGAAAACCGTTTCACACAATCTGTGTCTTGCTTGATTAAACCTGCATGGTGCACACGCCCTGATGCATGATCCGCAACACAATAACACAAATGCCTAGATAGATTTTGACGACAGCTGGCATGTTATTTTAGCTTTCTGGAGAGGCATGTCTGAAAGTCCTCCTTATTTGGATTATAAATTTATAATATTATATTCAACTATCACTGCAAGGCAGCGCACATGCATCCCCACACATCCTCATTGTTAGTTGCAAACACATCTCGTGATTTCAGCTACTACTAATCACAGCAGCTTATCCCCATCATCTTGAAGACGCAAATCCAAAGGTATCATTGTTGTCATTCCTCGCTCATTACACCACCACTTCAGCCGAGGTCATTTGGATGCAGCTACCTTCCGCGGCCCACGACCGTCACACTGGGCCGTTTCACAGTGGCCTAGCCAACACAGGACCCTACCGGCCCAGGCCCATACCAGTAGCCGAGCCTATTTGAACGCAGCTACCTTCCACGGCCCGTGACCCTCCAACACCACCGTTTCACAGTGGCCTAGACTGCACAGGACCCTACAGGCCCAGGCCCAAACCAGTTTAGCCGAGCCTATTTGAACGCAGCTACCTTCCACACCCGCAACCCTCCAACTGCGCTGTTTCACAGTGGCCTAGCCTAAACAGGACCCTACAGGCCCAGGCCCAAACCAGTTTGTTTAGCCGAGCCTATTTGAATGCAGCTACCTTCCGCGGCCCGCGACCGTCCAGCTGGGCCGTTTCACAGTGGCCTACCCTACACAGGCCCAGGCCCAAACCAGTTTAGCCTGGCCTAGCCTAAACAGGACCCTACAGGCCCAGGCCCAAACCAGTCTATTCGGCCGAGCCTATTTGAATGCAGCTACCTTCCGCGGCCCACGACCGTCCAGCTGGGCCGTTTCACAGTGGCCTACCCTACACAGGCCCAGGCCCATACCAGTTCAGCCGAGCCTATTTGAACGCAGCTACCTCCCGGCGCTTGCAAGCCTCCAACTGGGCCTGCACAGGACACTACCGCTCCATAGTGGCCTGCACGAGACACTACTGGCCCAGGCCCGAAGGCTTATATATGCGCTCACAAGCCTACATTGGTAAGAGCCCAACTTAGCTCCGGCCACACTGGTGTTTTACACCACCAGTACATCCAAGCCTCTTTTGCAAGTGGCAGATACCCACTGCGCGCCAAGCTTTGCCAAAACACCAGCGCAGCGTTTTCCTTTTTGTTCTGGCTACCGTCTTCACCCGAATAGAACGCCCGGTCATTATAGCTGTATTTGGCACAGCTTTCAGCCCAGCTACGACGATAATTACCGGACGTTCTATTCGGGTGAAGACGGTAGCACCGCCAGCCATGCTGGTCCTGCCTGTTGCCTCGAACCTGGCTGGTCCTGCCTGTTGCCTCGAACCTCCATTTTTTTTCGGAGAGGTTCACTCGTGATTCGCAACTTGGCTCGGGCCTTATACGGGTGGGTTAAGAAGCCCCGCTGAAATTCTATCCCCGTTCGAGGCAACAGGCAGGACCATCCAGGTTTGAGGCAACAGGCAGGGTGTGATGCAACGGGGATAGGACCAGCCAGGTTCGAGGCAACAGGCAGGGTGTGCTGCAACGGGGATAGATTCGCAACTTGGCTCGGGCCTTATACAGGTGGGTTAAGAAGCCCCGCTGAAATCTATCCCTGTTGCAGCACACCCTCATCAGCATAACCCCCCGAAGATCGAGCCTATATATAGAAGTTAAATCTTTTTCTTCTTCAGTTTCCCTTTCTTCACTGAGTAATTACAGAAGTCAACGAGATCAGGCCACAAAGCATGTCATGGTCAATATTGTTGGCAGCAAAGAGAAGAAGATGCGACGAGAACCAAAGGCAAGGCAACAAGAAAGGAAAGAAAAGAAAAGAAAAGAAAGAATATACCCACCCTTGGGAGAAGCCACCGAAGGTAAGGCAACAAGAAAGGAAAGAAAAGAAAGAATATACCCACCCTTGGGAGAAGCCGATAAAACACTTGACACGTGGCAGCAAAGTGGAACACGGATTTCGCGTCCCCTAAGAACCACAGAATGTGGAGAAGAACGTCATCAGGAAGGGATGTAATGTGGTCCCGACCACTTTCTGCCGTACCCCACGAAGAATTCTCGGATGTTTCCTCGTTCCTTCTTCCTCCTCCTCCTCCTCCTCCTCCTCCTCCTCCTCCTCCTCCTCCTGCGCTTCCATTGCCAGGATCAGGACCACCACCATCGCCAACACCATCGGGATCTTGACAGCGGTTATCCTCCTCCTTTCCGACTGACTCCATCTGCATTGCTTCTCCCTGGGCGATCATAACGACGGCAATCCTGTCCAGATCCAGACCAATGCACAAACACAGAACAGAGTGAGGACAAAGGCATTTCCCTTGCAAAGGGACAGTACAGGCAGTTACTGATTATTTGAGACATAATACTGTACGTTAATCGAATTCCAGATGGGAGACGGGGGGGGGTTAATCCATGATTCCCTGTTGGTTGTCTATCCCGTTGGAAACAGAACTTATCCCAAAATCCCAACCACCTATTCTTCACTCCTCGATTCGACAGGCAATGTTTGTACGTATGTTATTCCAGATTTTTTCCTCGTCAACGGGCATATGCACTCCGAGATCTCAAAAGAGGCAAAATGAAGTGTCCATCTAAGGTCGATATCGGAATTGTTGTTTGGGGGGGAGGGGGGGGGGGGCATAGACTTCCAAAAAGGCTC